CTTTTGACAGTTTTCTAAGTCCAAACTACTTTGTAATGTGACAGGTAAGATCTGGGACCTGGTAGGCTCTGCTTACTGGTCAGAGTAGGGAGAGAGGTGGCAGCTCCCAGCAAAGCTCTGCCAGGTCAATTACAGTTCAGTTAAAAAGCAGAGAAATAGCTCAACAGCCACATTCACAGACCTTTCTCCTAAAATATCAGAGTGACAAACAACATCTTTTAAAGTAGGTTCAGATCCATGAAATTATGAACGTGTAACGTCTGCTCGCTTTAGCAAGAACAAGCACATAGGAACTGGCACCGTTCTGAATCCGACAGATAGTGCCAGGAAAATTCCACTAGGTGGACGGAAAACCATGCACTGAAGCACAGCTGTGAACTGTTTTGAGAATCATGTTCAAGTGATACCTGAATAGGGCCTAGGAGGGCAGTTGTCTGGTTCCTATGTAGCAGTAACACAAGGGATCGTGAAGAAACAGCTACAGCTGAATACATTCTGTGCACCCTCTGCTGGTTTCAGAGCAGCAAGCAGCCAAATGTCAGGACACCAATTTAATAAAGCTGAAGCAAAATCCAGGGGAAAAAAAAGAAAAAGAAATGTCAACTGCAAGCAACAGTAAGAAGAGATACCAAATTCATTTTCAAAAATTCAAAAATAATGTTTGCAGAAAACTTTTTATAAGTGCAAAATGAAAATTAATATTGAGTGAGTGGACACTACTTACTTGCTCAAGGATGTTTCATACCAAATTTTCTGCAAGTTTTCTGCTCCTATGCTTTTACTTGTAACTTCTAAACACTCGTTTAAACCTACTTGCATTTTTTTTTTCTGTAATAGTTCAAACTAAGCATTTGTATTTTAGTATTCTGTCCTACCTCAAAAGAACAAGTAGATCAGGTGAATCTTACAAACCTTAGCAAGGAAACTGAAGTCAGTGACTATATTGTATTTAAAAGGAAACCACCCCTTTCACTGGCAGCTATTTCAGCTGTTTCTCATTATGGCTTCAAACTAAGACAGACATCCTACTCACAAAGTAAAGAAAATAGGAGTCAACATTTAGTGTTTCTTTTCAGAATCACTTTCTTCTCTTTAGCATAGCTTTTACAAACATCGCAGTTTGTAAAAGCTATGTAAAATAGTAAAGCTATTGTAAAATTATTGCTTCTCTCCAGTTTGTAATACTCTTCTCAGCTGTTCACAGGTTTACACACGAATTGCCATGGTTCGCAAAGCTGCCTTAATCCAAACCTTTACATATTTAAGATGAACAAAAACTAAAGCAAATCAAAACACCGTAGCGTAATAGTGCTAACACTCAACAACAGCCTTACTTGAGCAAGCTTGGCATCAACTCTACATCACAACTGTGAGAACACATAAAATCCAGCAAATGCACATCCCTCTGAAATCCTTTCATTTCACAGTTCTTCAAAACTACAGCAAATCTTTTGGTTTCAAATACACATTTAATCAATTCTAGAACGCTAAAAGAACAGAACTTCACATCTCACGTTCGATGCATTACTAACAAATCTGCACGTTTAGAAAGAGTTACAGAATATGTACTCTTTTGCATCTTTCCAAAAGGAGCTTCCACAGTGGTCCATTTTAATTCCAAAAAACTACAATCTCGTGTAACAATTTGTTATGATCTATGGATTTGATTATGAAAGCGTTCATAATTTTAGAGTGCTGAATAAAATACAGTGCAGTTAACTGAAAGAAAGGCTTTCCCTATTTCTACGCAATTCTGCTGATGCTTGAATTTTTTTTCTTATTTTTATTTTTCTTTTTTTGCATCCTCCTCCACTATATTGTGATACACTTAAATGGAAATAAATGCAGAAAGCTTCAGAAGCTTCATTTCTAAAAGAAGAAATTAACTACTAAACAATTAAGGTATTTTTTCAAAGGTGCATTCAAACTGATATACATACATTTGAAAGATAAAAGGTAAAAGATAAAAAGAAAATAAAGCAAATTTAAAATGTTTAAATTCAATGCAACCAGAACATTTTTTGTTTTAGAAGTGCAGTGATCAAAGAAAGATTTGACAACCACCTGAAAACGACAAATTAAATAACACTGGCATGGAGATCCTCACCCTACCAATTACTTCTGGGTGGGGATATGCAACTCCCCTCATTGCTATGGTATTAAATCAGCTCTATTTCACACAGAAGAAAATTAAACATTGAAAGATCAATAGAAGTTGTTTTTTGATTTGCTTATTTCAAGTTTGTCTTTTTGTTTTTTAAAGAGATAGAAAATGGTGCACGTGGCAGGGACAGCACATCTCACCTGTCACAGGTGTGACCTAGTGATTCCAAGTACCTGTATGCCTTGCTACTTTTAGCATAGTTTGGGGTTTGCTTAGTGTTTCAGAAGTGATTGCAATGAATGACTCAGAGCTGGCCACACTTTATGAAAGGAATAATAACCAGCTGCTGGACTGAGAGCCCCCATAAAGATAAAGGTCAGTGAGGGGTCATTCGACTGCCTTTTCAGTCTTCCTCTATCCAAGGGCTGCAAAGAGAGGTTCAAAACCTGGATAAGGTAGCCTGACAACAGAGGCTTGCTCTTTTCACATGCTTGTTTTATTGCACATACCCTGAGGAGCTGATCTTCACAGAACCTGTAAATCTTTTGGGGACATACTGCATCTTTCCTCATTAAGGAAGCAAGAATGCAGTTTGAGGTGCCTGGACTGGACGCCACATGTATTTATGCTTCTTCCCACATGTAGGTGGGAGAAGCATAGAAGAATAGTAAGAGCATACAAAAATTGTTTCCTCAAAACTCTGAAGAATATATTTAGTTTCAGACTGAAGACACTGGAAATCATGCTATAATAATCAGCTTCAAAATGCTCACTGAAGAGACCTTTTGCTGAAGAAAACGGGGCTTGTTGAGATAGGAGACATTCTGGGGGGACCTCGATGTGGCTCTCCAGTAATTAAAGGGAACTTAGGAGCAGGAGGGGGACAGACATTTTATGTGGTCTGATGGTGACAGAATAATGAGGAACGACTTTAAACTAAAAGAAGGGAAATTTATGTTAGATGTTAGGAAGAAATTACTTTCTCAGAGCATGGTGAGACACTGGAACAAGTTACCCAAAGAAGCTGTGGAAGCCTAATTTCTTGGAGATGCTTAGGGCCAGGTTGGATGAGGCCCTGAGCAGCCTGAGCTGGTGGGTGGAAGTCCTGCCCAAGACAGGGGGTTGGGACTGGGTTCTCTTTAAGGTCCCTTCCAACTTAAAACATTCTATATAACTGTAGGAAAAGAAACAAGAGTGGAAATATAAATGGGTATTTTGTCACTCCAATAGAGATTGTGTGCCTAAGGATAACATGTGAAGTTTCGTATTTCAAGCTTTTCAGAAATTGAGAAGAATGAAATTAGAAGGATTCTAAAGGTTTCTAAAAGAGCCCTAAGAACACCTTGGCTAGGAACAGTGATGACAGCAAGATGCCAGTAGTTCCCAAGCATGAAGACTGCATAAGAAGTGGGAATGCAAAGATGAGCAGACAGTACATTTGAGGCAACCACCTACTAGTACTGCAGAAGTTCGGAACACTGCAATGTTGCAGAATTTGATTCCTGGCCCTTCTCTGGAAAATGGGACCTAGAAACAGAAATCTACAGAATAAACATATGAAGGCTGCTCCAAAAGTAATGCCTCCTATTTTATGATGTTGGCCCACAAGGCAGATGTCTATGGCAGTAGATGTTGAACTTTCCCACCAATATTCCACTACGTTTTGTTGACATGTGACAGATGCAGTAGAGGGGCAGTCTGACAAAACGGTGTTTGCCACAGTAGTGTGGATGAAGGTAAGGGGTGTTGTTATTGAATTCCTCAATAATGGAAAGAGTGCACCCATTGACATTCATCAATGCTTACTGAACACTGACAGAGACCAAACAGTGGATGTGAGCACAGTGAGTTGGTGGGTGGTGTGTTTCTGAGGTTCACCTTCACTGGCGCAGATCACTATGAGCACGGCACGCAGCATGGTACCAGTGCAGGCTCTTATTCATCGCTGGCAAAAATGCATAGCTAAACTGGTGGTGACTGTTCAAAAACTGTTCAAAAACTTCAAAAACAGTTTTATAGCTGAGAATTTGCTCCATCATACAGTGTTGTGCTTCTTGTATCTGCTGTAATTTCTATGGAAATAAACAGGAGGCATTACTTTCAGAGCAACTTAGGGGGGTGTGTGTGTAACTACATATCAGTAGTTTAACAATAACAAATTCTAACATATTGTCTATCTTCTCATACGTACCTCAAGTCAGTACTAAACAATCATTCTAAGATGAGATATATAATTACAAAGTTATATTGTAAGATACTTAATAGGTCCCAGTTTTGAAATGCGTTAACAAGACAAAAGAACAGTGAAATGGCTTAGGAAAGAACAGTGAAATGGCTTAGGAAGCACATCTGAAATACAAAATTTTCAGAGGGCTTTCAAAAATGAAGCCAATCGGTAAAGCAGATTGTGAATTAAAACCTTTCCCTAGCAGCTTTTCCCTGTGTCTTACTATTTTACAGATATAACGGTGGAAGTGTTTAGACAATTGCTTTCACGTATTTGTTCCTTTTGGATTGATGTTTGCTTTTCTGTCACAAGATCTGTCACAAGATCAGGGACATTCAGAACAAGTTCTCGAAGTTGGGAGAAGTGAAATACAGATAATTTTTTTGTTAAATTTCTTCATTATGAAAAAGAGACTAAATATTCTAGTAAGAAGGCAAGGGAAGAAGAAGAGAAATGCAAGATCTTGGCATTCACTATGATGTGCAGCTGTTGCATGAGACAGTTCTTGAAGTCACTTTGTGATCTCAACTTTTCAAATTGCATTTAATAGCATAAACTGTTGTGTGTTGTGAGAAATGTCATCTTACTTATATTCCTGAATATACTGGAACCAGACTATCGTGTCTCTTTCTCTTTTTTTTTTTTTTTTTAATCATACCATCCATTCTTATTTCTATTCTGGTCAAACAGAAATGCAAGAATTTGTTGGAAAAGGAAATTCATAGAGAAGAACTGGGCAGTGCATTCTCAAATGAAATAAGAAAAAATTATTAACGTAGTGCATTTTTTTTTTTTTTTTAAATTCTTTGATGGTAAAGCTACTTAAATATAAATCCCAACCTTTCCAAAAAGCAGTAAGAAGATGGAGAAAAGAAAACCAGTGCATACATATTGGATTCTAAACAAAGAACAGTGACCATGTAGTATGGGGCTCCTCTGCATGCAGCACTGAAAAGACCTCTTTAGAAACAAGGTCATTTGGAACGAGAAAGAAGGTAAGATCAGCGTGTTTAACTAGCTTTCTTTCTTTCACTTCATAAATTATCCTGCTGAGGATTATACAAGTACAACACCTGCAGTTTTTTCAAATATTTCATACATCTACTCTCATAGATTGCACATTTCATACCATTCTACTCTCAGAATCTTGGAACAGCCTTTAACAGAGATGTCATGAATACTTCTTATGAATACTTTCTTATGAATTAAATCATAAAAACAAACACATTCTACCTCTTAGAGGGCTTTAGGCTTTAAAGAGTAGAAATCAGAAAATGAAACTAGAACCAGATAATCTAGCACCTTAGCTTTTCTAATGGCTGCTGAAGAGAAAACACCTGGACAGAGTCTGAAATTCCGGATTCAGTGAAGCCAATGGCAAAATCTCACAGGTAAACAACTGGTCTTAGAATCATAGAATGGCTTGGGTTAGAAGCGGCCCCAAGGATCACCAAGTTCCAGCTACCTTGCCACACGCAGGGCCACCAACCTCATCATTCACAACTTGTCACTTACTGTGTCTGTATTGGTCATACACCTGAACACCAGAAGTAATTGAAAATGCAACAAATTTGAGCATCCTCTAATCAGCATTCAGACTGGAGTAACAAAAGCAAGGCAATGTAACTCTTGGATTTTACACTAACATCTCAGTTCCACCCATTTCTTCCAGACAAGTTGGTTCACTCTTTACCTGGAGCCTTCTGTGTTCTGCAGCACCTAATACTTAAAAAGAGCCAAAAGCGATCGATGTATTCATGTTTCTATCAAGTCATTTTTCCAAGATACTGTAAACTTACAAATATTTACACATCGATCTGACCCTTCCTAGCTTTCCTTTTTTTCTTTTGTCATATGAACAACATTTGGGAAAATGCTCCGGACTAGTAATATCTTTGGATGCTTGCTTCTTACTGAGTGAATGTTTAATCAGAATGTATGTATTAATTTTCATTAAATCTAAAAAAGAAAGTTTTATTCCCATTTTGTTTTATTTGATATCAATCTAGGTTGGCAAGCTATTCCTTCTTGGACATTATCTAACTATTGCTTGTATTAGGTCCAATTCATAGTGTCTGCTAGAATTTTCAACAGGTTGAAATACTACTTGAGAAGACTTTATCTGTAAAGAACAAAATAAATTCCTCACCTAAAGGAATCAGTGTGATTTAGTTTTATAAGAAGAGAATTAAAACTAGAATTAGGGAGTTAACTTTAAAAGACAAATGACAAACTACAGAATAAGATTACTAAACAGACTGCACTGTTTCAATGCAAGTGCATTTTAAACTTCTTAAAAAGAGAAATACAGTCATCTTCAACTGCACATCAATCAATCAAGCTATTACTTGAGTTTTAAGAGTGCACACATCAGACTTTGCCTTCCTCTAATCCATGGTAGCTGAACATCTGTAAGATAGTAACAGTAGAAGCTCAATGAAACTTCCCCTTTTCATGAAGTCTGTGCAAAATAGAACGGAATACAATAATTTTGGCAAATACAGTTTTACAGTTTATCAACTTCAGAGAAACAAAGAACAAAAAACCACCAACTCAACTATTAAGTATCCTACTGCTTTCAAGAATCACTTTCCAGACCTTATGCACCTTCCCTAAAAGTTACTACTCTTAAAGAGGTGCTACAGATTTTGTTTTTAGTAGCTCTATCTAATCTTTCTTGATTACAAGATATAACAAAACTTCAAAATATTGAGTACTCAAAGTGCTTGCACAAACTTTGTGGGATGAATACCATCAAGATGATCCTTCAAGGAGAAATATAAGGCTAGTTGCAACATGATATAAAATTTGCCCCTGGAGAGAAAAAAAGTAAACAAAAGTCCAACCTTTTTGCAATTCTTGTCCACTTAAATGGCTTCAAATTAAAACAACAACAACAAAGTTTGAAATTTTGCAGCAAAATTAAGAGATTCTGCTTCCATATTTTTTCAGTCTCTCTCAGCTACACAAGAAGTAGATGGCTTCTCAGTACATCTTTACACGTGAAACCTCAGCACTTGAAAGGCAAATGTAGCTAATTGCAATTCAGCTGATCAATAGAGAAAGATCCCTTTATCATCTTACTTAGCAACAATAAAATTGTCCTAGTTACTCTCAGTATCTTCTGACACTTTATGTTTTAAAATTCTTACTGTTAAGATTCCTTTAAAATAGAAAATTCCATTAAGTAAAACAGAAAATCCCATTAAAATAGAAAAGCCATTTTTTGGTTGTTGTTATTTGAAGACTATATTACTGGAATCAAAAATAATGAAATTTTTACCAGTTTCAAATTAAATGATCCGAAGGTTTGACTTAGTGGAAAATCTATCAACAAAATGAGCACTTTAAAGTGTCATCGGATCTGCTGATCATTGATGCACAGGAACTTACTTGAGAAATCAAGACTGGAGGTAGCCTGGGCTGCAGTGATTATATCCTGGTAGGATTCATGTTCTTGAGGAATTTAGTCTGGCCTAAAAATATAGTAACGATCTCAGGGAGGCAAACTTTCAGCTGCTAAAGGTGGATATAGGACCTCCTGGGAGAATATCTCAGGAGATAAAGGAGCTGGCAGATACTGAAAGATATTCTTCTAAGAGCATAAGAACTTTTAATTGCTACATGCAGAAGATGAGGCAATGAAGGAACTGGCAGATAAAGTTGCTAAGCCATTATCCATCACCTTTCATAAGTCAGGGGAAGTACCTGGTAAGTTGAAAACGGGAAACATAGCACCCATTTTTAAGAAGTGTAACTACAGATCAGACAGCCTCACTCCAACACTCAGTAAGATCATGAAGCAGATCTTCCTGGAAACCATGTCAAGGCATACAGAAGACAGGAAGGTGATTAGAGATGGCCAGCATAGCTTCAAAAAGGACAAATCATGCATGCCTAATTTGGTGGCCTTCTATGACAGTGACAGCACTGATGGATAAAGCGAAGAGCAACTGATGTCATCTTGATGTCAACTTTGATATGGTCCCACATAACATTCTCATCTCCAAATTAGACAGACACGGAATTAATGGATGGACTATTGCATGGATAAATTGGCTGAATGGTCACATTCAAAGATTCTAGTCAATAGCTCGATGTCCACAGGCAGACTAATGATGAGTATTATCCCTCATGGGACAATCCATGAGGATTGATACTGTTTAATATCTCCATTGGTGATATGGACAGTGGCATCAAATGAACCCTCTGCAAGTTTGTGGGTGACGCCAAGCTGAGTGGTGTTGGTAATACCTTAGAGAGAAGGGATGCAATCTACAGGGACATGGACAGACTTGAGAAATGGGCCCACATGAACCTCATGAAATTCAACAGGGACAAGTACAAGCTGCTGCATCTGAGCTGGTGCAATCTCAAATCAGTACAGAACGGATGAACATGCTGACAGTCCTGAAGAAAATTATGAGAGGGTACTGGTGGATGAAAATCTTCACACAATTTGTGTTTGCAGCCCAGGAAGCCAATTTTATCCTGGGCTGCGTTAAAAGTAGAGAAACCAGATAAAGTGACATAACTGACTGTCTGATGCTCTCTACTCCACTGTTGTCAGACATCACCTGCAGGCATTATCTTCAGATCCAGGGGTGCCAACACAAGAGAGACACAGATCTGTTGGAGCAAGTCCAGAGGAGGATCACAAGGATGATCAGAGGGCTGAAACACCTCTTCTATGAGAAAAGGCTGTGAGAGTCCAGGCTGTTCAGTCTAGAAAAAAAGGCAGCTCTAGGGAAGTAATATATACCTTATTGCAGTCTTCCAGTATTCACGAGGGCTTTCAAGAAAGACAATAAGGGATGACTTATCAAGAAGTGTAGTGATATGACAAAGGTAATTGCTTTAAATTAAAAGAAGACAGATTTAGATTTGATGTAAGGAAGAAATTCTACACTATGAGACTGATAGATACTGGAACAGGTTGCCAGAAAAGTTGCAGATATTCCATCCCCAGAAGCGTTAAGTTCAGGCTGGATGAGACTTAATACAGTAGAATCTGATCTAGTGAAAGGTGTCCCTGCCCACTGCAACGGAGTTGGACTAGATGATCTTTCAGGTCCCTTTTAACCAAACCATTCTGTGTTTTTATGAAGACTGGCATAATGTATCCCTGGACATGCTCAAAACTGCTGATATTGTTTTGAGAGATCTCTGCAATAAATTGGCTTATTTTACAAATATCTTCAAATTTATTTGACAGTCTTCCAATACTGGCTTAACTAATGTCTATTCATTCCACACTGTAGACTTGGTTACTGTAGTCCTGTATTGCCTTATTCAAGGCATCTTCAGAAATAAAGCAATTTAAATCACTGACATGGCTTGAAGGGTGGTACATTACTCTAGTAAATTGTAGGAATCTCGCAACCTATTCCCTTGAGTTTGCAGTAACAATGTGGAGCACTGTGTATAAAAACAAAAGTGTACCAATATTTCACAAAATATATCTTCAGCAAAGAGACTGTGTCATTATAGTAAATAAAGGCTATGTTTCATCTTTATCATATTAATGGATGTAGCATTCGGCTCAAGTACCGAACAGTGAAGTCAGAATCGCAGGCTGTTTGAAATGGTAAACAAACATTAAACAAATTACTAATGCATGAGATTTTCAAGTAAATGTGCATACTCAAACATATTGTTTGTGTTATCTGCAGAACTATTTGGAGTTATTCATACATATCACTTTTGTAGACAAAAAGACCAAGTATGGATCAGCTGCTTTAAGTTGCTAGAATGAACAGCTTTTGTCATGGTAGAAGGCTTTAACCTGGCATAAATGAGAACTGCTCCCTAGAAGCCTGGCCCCTATTTTCTCTATGTCCCTCTCTTACTCTTCCCTTTGTGTTAGGAAAAAGTACAACACTATTGCTAACTACATCAAAGTGTTGGATGCTAGGACAGCTCCTTTCAAGGCAAATGTTGCTTTACCATGGCTTAATCTAAAATGAGAAGGTTTTCACTCAAACTTTTTCACCAGCAAGTTAAAGAGACCATACTATGTTTGCTAGTATTACTGAATATTGTTCTTCTGGTAATATTCATCTGCACTCCAAATCAGTAAAATGAGAAATGAAACAGTCCTAGCTGTAAACAAGATGCAACTGAAAACTGTACAATAAGATTTTATTCTAGAAAAAAAATGCTGTTAGAAATTGATGGTGTAACACATACGTACAGTAGCCAATTTATTAACGTTTAAAAGATATTAACAAAGATGAAAAGTCATTAAATAATACATTGTTTTATACCACTACTAGTTGAATTATTTAAACTCTCTACCTAGTAATTTACCTATACCGTCATACTATGAGTAATTTAGCATACTGTAGATCTCAGTTTAGAGAAACAGATTAACTTTTAGTTTTAAAAAAGCATTTAACAAAACATTTGTAAACAAAAGCTACTGCCAATATGTGTTTGATTCTGAGTATTTACATGGTCTGTGGCTGAAGTATTTTCAGTCTACAATATAAAAACAAAAAAAAGAAAATCCCTTAAATACACGAAGTGCCCTCACACCTGTTTTGCATGTTTGGACTTCCAGAACTGTATCTGCCTGACCTGAATACTACTACTAGGTTGCGCAGCATTATCAAGCAACTTCTTTGAGCCATAGAGACTGCACATGAAGGTACTTTCACTTTAAATATTGTTCACCTCAAATCGCAAGACATGTTCTAGTAATAAACATATCAGCAAGGTCAAAGCAATAATTATTTAATTCACCTCACTACACCCTAATGACTACTGATTGCATAGTAGATAAAGAACCACTCATGTCCACTCTTTTCAAAGGATTACCTTCATTAAGCTGGCTCTTTACTGTCCAGAATAAAAATCCCTATAATCGATAAACTGAACCACGTCACAGCATGAAAAAGTAACCCATGTACCAGAGGAAGATGGCAAGAAACACATGTATAACTTGATTCTGCTTCCAAAATCTTGCTTGTACTTTACACTCACATGACACACTCATATTTTCATCCCTTTGGAAGAATTGGAAGGGGAATTAAAACTTGCATGTTTACACTTTAACAGTAAAGATCAAAATTCTAATCTGAGCTAAAAACATTTCTTCTAGAAAAGAGGCATTGGGATAACAGAATCCACCTCTCTGATACTACTATGCAAGAGAATAACAACTTCTTCAGAGCTAAATGAAATGCCTTCAGACAGAATTTGAACAAAAATTATGTTGAAAGAAGTTGGTGGAATGCATTTCAATGAAACAAATTGAAAATCTTACAATATTAAATGTTCCACCACCAATTTGAAGGACATAAACAGCAAAGTATGTGAAATAAGAGAGAATAGCGCTACTCATTTACCTAAGCAGCCAATTCCTCTCAGCAATTTAACAAGATTTTCTCCTTCAGTATTAAGCCACCAAAACACAAAGCCCCCTGATTTCTGTTAAAACAAACAAAAAAAAAGAGAGGATTTTTCAGACCAACAACAGCTTTTTACTCTTCATGCAACACTTTGGGACTTTGAGTCAATAAAAACAACCACAAATTACTTAAACACTACCACTGTCTATCCAGAATACCCAATATGTTACAAAACAAGACAATGCAAATACTTAATTTTGGCTTCACATGTATCCTCATTTTAAAAAAGAAAAGCTAAAATATTACTGTATATTCTTACAGTGTCTCATATTTCACCTTCTGTAAGTAGTAAGAACTTCATACATCTACTAGCATAAGAAGGTAAATGTAAGCTTGACAGTATCACAGCGATACGCACTTTGTAATCTTACTATCTAAAGAAGGTGAACATTTTTCTAACCTATTTTTTTCAATTTTATTGAATTGTCTGCAATATTCTGTGAGTGTGTGTACATACACGCACGCACAGAGAAAGTAGTATCTACAAAGAGTTTACACAAATATTTACATACATATGTTATACACATAAACTAGCATGACTGCATGATTTTCCATGTAAAAACCATACACATCTTTCTTGCACATGATAGCTGTTGCATTGGTCTTACAAAAGTAGTATAAACCTTTTGCAACAACTAGCAAAGCACATATCATAGCTGGTTCCAAGTTTTTATAGCTTGCAGGTTTCTTTAAAAAAAAAAAAATACAATACCTAGAACACTGTTATCAAACAAATATGCTTTATTGGCATCTAAAAACAAAATGCACCCAACATTAAAATGTACTTTTGCATTGTTTTTTAAACCCACTGCAGTACGAGGAACAAACCACAAAACACTTACTTTAGAGAAAACAGAGACTATAGTGTAGATTTTACAAAATCACTTTTAATCTCTGTGTTATGCTCCTTAAGTAACATGGGCCATTTCATTTTCTGCCAAATTGTAGGAACATAAAATATCACAGCTTTGTCTATACTTTAAAATTCTGCAGCAGCCTAAAAACACGGACAAGATACACCAGCACCTGTTTTCAAGTATAACAATTTCAATAGCCAACCTAGGGGTAGTATCTAAAAAATTCCACTGTCTTCCATAGGAAGTCTTTGTTTGACAAGCTGTTATTTTACCTTTATGAAATTAAAAGCAAGTGGGGGCAAGTTTATGTTTTACCAGAGAAATTAAAAAAAAAAAGTTTACCTACCATGTTCAAATTAAGAACAGTGTTCTATACAAGTCAGTTGTACAGTTATTTAAGTGAAAGATGAACATGAACATCAGATTAACTTAATTCTGGCAGATAAAAGTGAACTACTAAGGTCCAGTCAGCCATTTATCTATTACAGAGAGATGACAACTTTACAAAAGGTATCTTTTACCTACTGAGTGATGATTATGTCCCCTCAGTTTCTGTGCTTTCTACCACTGGTTCACTTTCTATATCAGCTTCTGTGTCACTCTTCTCTTTGTTTATCTCGACGGAAGATGTCAGTTTTTCATAAAGTTCTGGATCGTCCTGCACCTGTGCAGTTGGTGGTTGACTTTCTGTCTCTGTATTTTCACCGTTCACCTGGGGCAAATTATCCGCTTTGCGTTGGGAAGTGGCCCCATCAAAGTATTCAAAAACCCGTGGGTGTGGAGGGGGGATCCAGTTGTTTGACATTCTGTCTCTTCCAAACCTGTTTCCATTGATTTCTCTGCAGAAGTTAAAATCTCTGTCATCCCTGTCCCTCTGTCTTTCCCAGGGTCTTCTGCGGTCATCAAAATCTCTGTGAGCATCTTGTTCAAATCCTCTGTTCCAGCTGGGACCACTTCTACTATCAAACCTATAGTTTACATGCCGAAATCTCTCTCTGTCCTCATGGAAGCCTTTAGGGCCACCATAAATAGGAAAGGCATGGTGCTCTCTTTCATCATAATCTCCTCTTTGTCCCCAGTGCTTATCTGAATTGAAAGCAAAATGCTCTCTTCGACCAAGATTATCTATACCTGGTCTTCCAAAATTTTCTCTCATGTCAACATGAGGTCTTGCAAAATGTTCTCTTCCATCTACTGGAGGTCTTCCTATGCCCTCTCGTGGATCAACTGGTGGTCGTCCAACAGAATCTCTGACATCCACTTGGGATGGTCTGTTGAGATTATCTCGGTTTTCCACTGGAGGAAAGCGATAATCTCTGTCTCCCTCCTGCTGAATATTATCGCCTCCAAGTGGTAACCTTTTCTCTGGATTAGAAATGCTATCAATATTTTGTCTTCCTGGTGTTGCAAAAGGTCTTTCTGTTTGATTAAAAATATCTCCTGGAGGAAAAGGACCTCGAGGCGGAGGGTGAAGAGATGGATCAAGGATTGCTGGAGGAGGAATACTACGCTGTGGTGGTATTCCTGGCTGCATTAATGGAAACCTTGGTCCAGGTGAATGGGGCATTAGGCCTGGACGGATATCTATGAGAGGCATTCCTGGCATCCTTTGACTACTAATATTTAAATGAGGCATACTTTGAACACCAGCTGGGTGCTGTATTGCCAGAAGTCCAGAGTTACTTGAAATATTTGGTGGTGGCACTCCCATAAGTCCAGAACTACTTGAAACATTCGGTGGTGGCATTAGGAGAAGACCAGAGTTGTTTGAGACACTCGGTGGCTGTACTCCTGCCAGAACTCCTGAGCTACTCGAAACACTGGGAGGCTGCATTCCTGGTAGAAGGCCAGGGCTGCTTGAGATATTGGGTGGATGCACTCCAGCTAGAAGCCCTGAGCTACTTGAGACATTTGGTGGTTGCACTCCAGCCATAAGTCCAGAGCTGCTCGAGACGCTGGTTGGCTGAACTCCTCCTGCAAGAGAAGAGCTACTGGAGACACTGGGTAGTTGCACTCCTCCGGCAAGACCAGAACTGCTTGAAACAGTTGGTGGTTGCACTCCTCCTCCAAGTCCAGAGCTGCTTGAGACACTGGGTGGCTGTACTCCGCCTGCAAGTCCAGAGCTGCTTGAGACACTGGGTGGCTGGCCTTCTACAGTTAACCCAGAACTGCTTGAGACACTGGGTGGCTGCATTCCTCCAACAAGTCCAGAGCTACTTGAGACATCACTTTGCACTAAAATGAAGCAACAAGAAGAACAGTTACCAGAAAATGCCAATGCAACATAATATTGGAAACAAAACAGAACTTAATCCATTATTCAAGTAATACATTCAGAGTGATGATATGCTGATGAGGCCTGTCTCAGTTTCTACAGTGAACATAGATCATTTTAATCATGTTGAGGATAGACATTAAGCCATGGAAATTAGCACCTGTATATAGTAAAGAATGTACAGCAGCTTAAAGTTGACAAACTCCACAACTATCATCCAATTTATGCAAGTGAAATATTAAAATACTTGACATAGGTCTTTAAATTTTATACTACTTTATTCTACTCTGCTTTTTTGCATTACTGTTCATGTAGAACAAATGCACTTCTAAAATGTTTTCAAGAGATTTAGCTCTATTTCTCAAATCTACAAAGAAAAGATTCCCAAGAAAAAACTGTTAGGAATAAATGATTAGATTGTGATAAAGATGATCTCCCTTACTCCTTCATTTTAAACTGGAAATTATACCTAGCATACTACTTCCAACTCTATTTATTAGTGTATTGGACAAGGACCAGATAAAAAAACCTCTTAAGCTTGATGATGTTTCTTGCATGCAAAAGTATCAGACAATAAAAACATTTCTTACCAGCTCTACCATTTTCACTGGAAGAAATCTGAAGGTCTGCAAGATGAGATCCCTTTTCATCAGGTTCTTGTTTGTTGACTGGCAGAGGATTAAAGATGCTTCCAGAAGATAATGTTGGAGTAGCTAGATTGCTACTAACTGTGCCAACAACTGGTAGAACCAGGCCAGTAAAAGGTACATCCTTCATCGTCTCTTGAGCAATTGGTAATGGAGGCTGTACTAAAGCTGTAGAGAAAAAACAAGTGCATCACAGTAACCATATCTGCATCCTCCATGTTTAGTTTGTTAGGTATCAAGATAATAAACCAATATTCTTTTAGTTACTGTAAGAATTATGGTAGTTTTAATAATCATTTTTCTTTTATGTTCAATCAGCACTCTAATCTTTACTTTTTTGTAGAGAATTTGAACTGCAGGCACCATAACCAATCAGCACTCTTTAAAAACACTCTTACATGTTAAATTGATAACAGTTAAAAGGCTAACTAAAAATAAATCATTATAAATCACTCAGCAACTAACACTTGATAGATAGCTTAAGTAATAGATACATCTGTTATAGCCAAGTAAAAATACTGAACTATTCATACAAATATTAAATAACTCATTTGTCATTATTTTTTCCCCAGTTACTCCATGGTATATTCCTATTTTCCATTAGACAGGACTAATATATTTTTCATTAAGTGATAAGCAGTATATCAAACAAGTAAGCTTTTAATGACATACAGCAACTATGAGAAGAATCAAACTTACATGTTGGAACAACTGGTGGGACAACAGGTGGTGGGACAACAGGAGGAGGAACAACAGGAGGAACTGGGGGAGGCATAAAACCTATATGGAAAATGTACAAATTATTACAGTGACAAACAAATATAATTTTGCATTAAAACCTTACTTATATTATTTGCATCACTCAAAACCAGTGAACAACACAAGCACATGAAGATCTGACAACAGTTATTTTCAAAAAACAATCCATCTTTATTGTAAAAGATCTGCATGCTCATCTCTAAAAGGGATTTATGTCAGCAATACCCAAATAGGTATCATATTTTCATTAGGAGTTTCAAAATCTTCCAAAGAAAGGAGATGAATTTTAAGAATCTTTTAATTTTGATTTTTCCCCAAAAATTAAAAACAAAAACAATCAGAAAACAAACAAAAAATCCAGCTTTAGTGATATGCTCCACAAAATACGTGAGTAAGATATCATTTTTAGACATTAGGAATTTCATATTGGGTTAAAATTAGAGACTCTTGATTTCGCTCAAGCAATAACCAGAAGTTGTTGGAAAACTGTACAAAGCAAAATATACGTAGCACACAGGTTGAGAATACTTATTACATACTCAATTTTCTCCTTACTGACTTACCTGGAGGTGGCTGTGAAGGATTGAAACTTGCTCGCAAGAAGGGTGGAGGAGGAATGGCACTATAACCAGGAGGAGGGACAGACATTGTGACAGGAAATGCAGGTGGAACTAAGCTAACTGCAGGCACAGCCGGAGCTACTGGAATCTTTTTTTTTATGGAAAGAAAAAAAAAAAAAGTAATTTAAATGCCTACAGCATTCAGTAACATTAAAAGAGTCTATTCACTGACTTGCCTGCAATTCATGCAAAATGTTAAATGTACCCAAAAACTTTATATTCTGAAGGCTCTGAAGAATTAGACTGTGTTCTGGAATAGTATCTGCGTAACAGATAAATAAGGCCACTGGATGAATCCTATGCTATTTTTTCATTTTTCTAAAGGAGCAGAAAATGCACAGTTAGACATTATGCTAATTGAAGTATAGAAAATTACTTAGGGAGAGAGGAGAATACAAAAAGGAGGAGGGAAAGAGAAAGAAAGTGTGGTGAGAAGTTGGGGTTAAAAAGGAAGAAGAGAGAGAGGGAGGGTAAGAGAAAAAATCTGGCAATTTGAGGGCACTTAAGAAACAGTCATTCCATTCTCATTAGAAGGAACAATATATTTCAGAACAGTGCCAGAGTGTTGTGAGGTTAGCACATGTGATACTCTAACAGACCTGATGAAATCCTGGTAATTATATAATAGTTCTGTTCTGTTTGAGCTGTGCATTTTGGCACAGTGCAAAATACTCAGAAGTAATACAGAGCAGAATAAAAGCAATATACACATACAGACACATATACATGTATTTTTAAATGAATCACAGTCTATGCTGGGAGGAAGTTGAAATAAGAAGACCAGGGACAACATAGAAAAAACTGTAAAAGCACAGACTTCAGCACAAGTAAATGCAAAAATGTTAATTTCATAGTAACATCATGTCAGCTCAAGTGCTGCCAGTGTCTAGACACGTTAAGAAAAAATGATAATAAGTTTTTTTTATTTAACAACTGTTCTCATTTTACAATTTCATTGGTCATAACAAAAAAGATCTTAAGAGTTTGACATAAGGCATCGGAGTTTACACTTGTGCTATACTCAAGGAAAATTACACCACATTCTTCCAGCCTTCCATAATAAACAGCTATTGATTAGATGTTAATAAAATCATGTTTTATCAGGTGGAAGAAAACACAGTAGATATTCAATGGCTCTCACAAATTACTGTGTGTATCATAGACTACAACAATCTACTATTCAGAACACAGGGCTTTAAATATTTTGCTTAGGCACTTTCCTTAATATTGCAGTTAATCTGTATTGAATAAAAACTTACCCCTCCAGCTGTGTGGAGATTCTGCAAATTCAAACTTTAATACAAACCTGTAGCATAGTGACTGGCTGTGTGTAAGCTTCTGTCTGTGTTGTAATCACTGTGCTCTTATCAACTGCAGTACTCTGCGTAGTTTGAATATTTTCTTTAGGAGGCTCTGAGCTCCTTGCTGTTTCCCATTCTTTATTAAAAAAAAAAAAAAAAAAAAAAGAGATGCATTTTTAACATAAAAAGATACTGATGTGGGTTTTTTTTAAAAAGTGCTTTTCTATTTTAAACAGTAAATACAATTATTTACTTATTATTATGCATTTTAAGAATGTTAAATGTTTCTAAACACCTGCTTGACGTTATTTAATTGTGCCTGTACACAAACAAACTTTTTAAAACTTGACAGAGTTTTTCCACCAATTATTCTGTTAATAATTCACAATACAGAGTATGTTTCAGATTTCTAAAAATTTGGCTGCAGTAGAATGACAGATCCTCAAGTGGAGAAAAAACACCAAACAAACCAATCAACCAAGCACAACTCCTTTCTACCACCTCCTCATATTAACTTCCAACAGTATCAAGAAAAAAGGTTTGTGTTTCAAGTATAAAATAGTGAATGTATTCTAACAATATTTCATGATTTAATTCTTATGTTACCTACAGTAAATTTTTACTCCAAGCATTGTGAATGCATTTTTACCTGAAAAATTATTGTCTCTATAATGAAACAGTCTTAATACATTGCTTATTTCAATGTAGTCTAGTCATTTGGTGCTAAGACCCATTTCAAGAAAATACAGTACTCATGTATCTTTTACAAACTTAGCAAACTTCTCAAATAGGTTTCAGTATATAGGTCTAACACTACATGTTTTCTTGTCTCTGACTTTAATGGAGGAAATACCTCAAAGTTCAGCTAAGTTGGTCCTATTTGGACAAGTTCCAACACCAACTTAAGTCTCATACTAGAATATAACATCTTTCACAATCACAACTAGATCATAATTGTTACATAAATAACGTACTTAGAATTGAGCATACAGCAAATTGGAACTGTTAATTATTATCTTCCTTAAATTAATCCCCCTGACAACAGGTCATGACAATTAATTACTCCCCTACAAAAATAATCTACATTTCAATGCCATTTATATTGTAAACAAGTAGTTAGTAATATTAATGTAAATTTTAAAAGAGTATGTGTTACCTAAAGAAATAATCTTTCTCAGGATTTGCAATTATAAAGAAATAAACACATTATAAGTATCACTGTTAATGTTCATACCTGTATTTACTGTCTCCTGATCAATCATGCCACCTTCAGCAAAGCCCTCCAAATCATCCAGTTTTACCTTCTCCCAAGGAATATATGAAACTCCCAGGTCCACATCCCAGAATTGCTTATACTCTGTTTTCACACCTTTATTTAAAGCCCAGGCAATCTGAAAATAAATCCCCAAAAGATTATCTGGTTATGTATAACCTGTGAAATGTAGGACATTCACCTGGCCTCTGCAACAATAGGAACATTAATTACATTTAAAACCTCAAATTTCTTCTGCTTTATTTCTAACATACACATAGGGAAATCAAGAACACGGTATTTAAAGGACTCTTCCTGAAGTGTCAAAGAAAGCAGAAAAAGCATAGCACCTAATCAAATAATTAACTAGCAATTTTAGTATTAAGTGATCTATGTGGTCAAGTACAGGACTTCAGTATTTCACAGTATTTTTTTTTATCACCAATATGCATTTAAAACATTTTCCAGATATTTTCTAAGTATCAAGTCACAATTTTATTTAAGTATCTTCCATATTATCTGTCCAAACCTGCACTGTACGCCATATGTACCTTAACGATTCATTCTTATTTTCCATACTGTCAGTTTGAATTAATAGCTGTTAAATAATTGATTAACTGATAAAAAAAAAAAACTGTACTGCTTTTGAAATGGACACTATCTTTGGACTAAGTTCAACTTACCTTAATAATTTTAGATCCAATTTTGTAGGACCCAGAACTAAGCTTCTGAAGAGCACGATATGCATCTTGTCTATGAACCATGCAGACATATGCACAACCTCTTGGGGGAATCATCTATTGAATAAAAAAGATCCGTGGTCTTAAAAAGCAGGAAAAATGGTACTTCAGATTACCTATCTACACTGAATACTAAAATAAAAAAAAAAAAGGAGGGACTTATACTGTAACCATCACTGTAATAAGTAATTAACAATTCTGAGCATCAGCAAGAACTAAGAGTGAAGTTAGTAGAGTACAATAGTTACAACATCTCCTAGAAGCAGCAGCAAGCTGAAGAATGGGCGCTAAAAGCAGCATGACAGATTTAAATGACAAGCAGAAGGCAGAGATGCTATGGCAAAAGGTACTGAACAAGTTCTTTGCCTCAGTCTTCACTTGTGAATCAGTGACACAGATAGTGGGATGAAGTGCACAGGAAGTTGGCAGGAAGGTTGGAACTGGATGATCTTTAAGGTCCCTTCCAACTTACGCCATTCTATGATTCTACTAGACTAAATCGAAATGACTCTAAATCATGAGAAATATAGCTCCTAAGGAAAGCATGCTTTTATGGTCACATTTCATAAACACGCTCTTGTTTACAGTACCATGTATCCTTTTATAAATGATTTAGATACACTGACTGCTGTTTAGCACCCCTATGTATGCATATAACCAAGCCACTGAGGACATCACATCGCACTCTTGTCGATTAGTGAAATAAAAAATGATCTCTATTCCTAGGTCACAACACAAAGTGAAGAGGCACAACTTTGTACTTGTTAAAATCCAACTTCAAAAAAAAAAAAAAAACCAAAAAACTTGTTTTAAACTTTTAAAACTGTGCAACCAAAGTTTTTGTCATGGAAAAGCCATTTTACCATGAAGCATACTGTCTTCAGTGCTTCAAACAAAAGTACATGAAAACCAACAAGCAAATATCATAGCTACAGTTTTTAAGCAGTGATAAAAAATACATGTATCAATCACCTAAACACAAGCTTAGGCTAAAAAGGAATCCAGAGGCCTAGGTATGTTTAAGTTGCTTAAAATCCTTAAAAATGGATGATTATATGCACACTTACATTAATAGATTCTATTTGTCCAAATTCTTCAAACAAGTTGGTCAAATCTTGCTGTGTTGCCTTCTTGTCTACTTGACCTACCCAAAGAGTAGTGCTGCAAACTGCCAAGAGAAGCGTTCATGTTACAACAAGTACTAAAATGTTTGCTTACAGAACACATTATAGAATGGATATAATAGGCACAGAAATCATGGATCAAAAGCAAGAATAGTAAATCTATAACTTATTGAGCAGAGAGTAGGTAAATTAATAGAAATATTAAAAAGCTAAATGAAACAAAAACAGCTGTTCATTACAAGCGTTCACTTTTCTTGTTTTATTTTCTTTTAATCAAAATAGTTGCTTTAAAAACAATGAAAAATATTGTTTAAAAACAACGAAATGTCAGCTATTATTGCCTGCAGCAGAAAGGTCCCTCCCAGTCAAAATATTCTACGATCAGCTATAGCAAGCTGTAATAGCAATTTGTCACTAAAAAGCATACCTGTATGATTAAAAGACTTTCAATTGACTCAATAATGCTGAGAAGGACTAGCCCTCAGATTTCTCTTAGACACAACTGGCTCCTTATCTTTTGAAATTTCACAGAAGTCAATTTATTTCTCACAACAAAATGCTAAGAAACAATTCTTCAGACCTCAACTAGTGATTAACAGTGGTTGTCATATTTTGAGTTGCTTAACAAATTGAATTAAGTCAATAGGCAATTTTTTTTTTCTCCTCCAATTCTAAACTCACTTACACTCCTTAGTATCCCCCTTCTACATGAGACAGACTACCTCCAAGTACTTCAAGTGCTGATGGTCTTCTATATTGCACTTAGCATCCCTGCTTCCCCGGTCCCCATCCATTCTGATTATAGTTCCCTGCTTTGTACTCTGCTGGGAGAAATCTACACCATAAAAACTATTTGCTATTTATCATGTGAAAAGCCAGAGAATGAAAACCAGACATCTAAACGCTAGTTCTGAGTTTACAGCATCTTGGAAAGATGTTAAATACTCATACATAGAGAACAGAACACTCTTAGAAAAATGAATTCTAAATTGCTTAACTTGTCAGATACCTGACAGAATTCAGGACACCAAATAAACACAGAACCCACATCTGAAACTATGTTATCTAACCAAAGTTAAATTTGGGAGTGCAAGTTTGGTACAAAAATAAATTAAGTGCAATGTGTGCATCCCAAGAATCCAGGATCCTGAAAACACCATGCTGATACAGTAACAAAATTAATTCCATTTAAAGCACTCAGCAAACTGACTGAAGTGCACACCTTTGAACAGTGTCCACCACATACTTAAATCCCTTACAAATCCCAGTAACAAATTTTAGACCAAGTGTTGTCCATTTTCAAATGCATTGTAAAAGACAGTATTAAAGAAAAAGCATCCAGTAACTTAGTGACACTTTTGCTACTTTTCTTTTTGGAGCTAAAACTGTCAATGTAATAGCACAAGTAAAATCATCAGCAGAACAGTATGGTATTTGCTGCTCTCTAAGATGAGATCATGTACCTGCTTAAGTTGTAAGAAACACAAGAACTTAAACTTACAAAAAGAATTTGTCTATCACAGTTTGTAGAAGCTGGATATTTTTCTTTCAATGAAAAAAAAAAAGGCATTTTCCCGTTAGAACTATATTATTAGAACAGAAAACTGTTGCCACCTACCACTTAGTGTTTTTGACCGTATTGGAGGCAATCCCTTTTTCTGACGTTCTTTTTCCCTTTCCCTAGCCCTTCTTTCACTGGAGTAGGACCGAGATGACTTTCTCTTCCTTTCTCTTGATCTTGAGCGTGAACGCTTCCTGTGTTTGCGCTTACGAGAACCAGATCGTGATCTAGACCTTCTTTTCCTTGGTGACCTACAAAATAATTTACTTCAGTATGCTGAGTTTAAAAGAAAAAAAAAAAGTAATATAGTTTTATTTTTAACTACAGTCTTCAAGCTTGTTACAAATACTTCCTTTATATTTACTCAAACTGCCATTAATGTGGGGAATAGAACATATACACAGGGCTTTAAATAATAAACCAAAACAAAACACGCCTCAAGATTTCCGTAACAGTACCTGTTTTTCTGGCAGAGAAAGCCTGTCAAACTCACTCGTGTTATTTTTGTTACCTGACCAGTCCTAAAAAATTTAAGGTAGTCCAAAGCGATGCAAAACAAGCTGCCGTACATTAAATCTTCATCTAGCTCACAAATACTAAATGAACAAATTACTCGTGACAACTTTGGAAAATACAAGATTGAGAATAGTAATCACAGACTGAAATCCTGTTTAAAAAAAAAAAAAAACAAAAAACAAAAAACCTTCATTTTCTTAATACAAGTTCATTACTTCACCTTGAACGAGATCTTGAACGAGTTCTTGATCTTGAACGAACAGCAGATTTTTTTTCTTCTTGTTCAAAAATCTCCTCTTCAGCAACATCCTGTCCTTCATCTATGTCCATGTCCTGAGGTGAGACACAGTAGATATTCATAAAGATTTAATAAATACACTTACCATCTATCCAAGCATATGAAAAAATGCACGTATTTTACTTCTTTTGAAATCAATGTAATGTTTTCAACTTTTGCAATTAAAATTTAAAATTCTTTTACCTGTTGTTGAATATCCATTGAATCATCTACATTTGTTTCTGCTTCTAAAAACTGCTGTTGACTGCTCCCTTGTGAAGGTGATGCAGAGTGTTCTGAACCAAAATTCCCTTCCTGATTTTCCTCAGGGCTTGCCTAAATTGCAAATAATTATAAATCATAAGAAGCCTCACAATTCAAATTGTTTATTGTGTCAGAAATCAAGAATACACAAAACAATTGTTCAAATATTTCTCAAAAACAATTAATCTACTTTCTTTTATTTTCTTCCTTTTCATTCATATGGAGTAATTATCTACTGAGAAATACAGAAGCATAGGTTTCGAATAAATACTTATGAGACAGAAAATAAATGCAAGGAATACAGGAAATAAAATGAAAATATTCAGAAAAGTAATTGACAACTTTTATAACTTAGTTTTTACAATTATTTAATGTTTTTGTCTTCTAATAACATTATCTACTTCATTTTCCATGTATTTAATTATTTCTATATAATCTCTGTTTCTTGGTATCAGTTCCTACATTTCTTGTTGCTCCTATCTTCTCCTCCTCCCACTCTGCTCCTAATTAGGTGTTTAATACTTTTGGTTTGTGTTTCATTTTTCTTCCTCTTTCCCTGAATCCTTTTCACTGATTCTGAAGAATGGAATTAAAGAAAATATTCCTTGTAACACACTGCAGTCAGTCCTGAGGAGATCCAGTAGAACCTTGTGTCTTTTAGCTGCGATCAACATGAATGTTAAACTTATTCTATGTACCACGTAATCAAGAAGCTGAGTGGACCTGAAGGGAAATAATTTCTGTAAAACCATTTGGAATAGAAGATCAAATAATAGGGGATGAGTCATATCAACTCAATACCCATATATGTAATGTAACTTAATTTCATAAATGAAATCTAATTTACTGTCCAATTCTGCTTTTTTTTTTTTAATAGTTTGTTCTACAATAAGGTAGGCCATTTAGCTTATTATTTCAAATTACATACTATTAGCTATCTTTAGATAAGTCATATCAAAAGCTCCTGAAACAGACTCACCTTCCAGAGTTATATTTCTGTACAATCTATACAGAGTTTAAGCCAGAAATTGCTAATTACACATCTACATAAAGAAAATTTAATCTGTATCTATGTTGTACAGACGTCCTGTTACTATAGTTAAATAAAACAAAGATTTTAGTTTCTATAGAATTAAAAACTCCAAGTCACAAATTCAAAATTCCTGCTGACATGCCTGATTGAAAGCTGAGGATTGCACCTTTGCACTCATTAAAATAAAATTCTCAACAGACTGTTAAGCTTCTTGTAATTTTCATTCAATACAGAAATTTCCATTTTACTGATAAACTGATCCAAATACCCTATAGCATATCCACTATATCTGGCCAGTAAAGAGACAGAATAAACTTTTTATTTTCTAACCGAATCAGAAACTGACATCAGAATGAGAGCATAACAACACAGCATAAACTCAGAAGAACAAGATAATTTACTTTATTGTAGAGAAGACCCAATTTACACAGTTAAGAAGCAACCTTGCAATGTCTCAAGCATCTATTCTTAACTAAGAACTTCACAGGAAACAGTGGACGTTATTCTTTAGTTCAGATTCTTTAGTAGAATAATACGTTTACTGTCAAGATTTAAAGCTTGGAAGGGGAAAATTTAAGTTACAGTGCAGTCTAGTATTCTGTCCTTTTGTAGTTCTGTAGCAGCAGATTGTGCACTGCTCTCTCTGCACAGTCAGTAGCATACTGACTTCAGGGCTCATTTCCTCCTTCACAACAGCAGAAAAAGAAAAAAACCAACTTTATTTTTCCAGTAAAACAAGCTGAACAGTCAAAGAACAGTCAGTCTGTAACTCAGCTGAGGGGTACTCCTTCCTAAAAGAAGCAAAATGTATATCCAACATTCGATTCTATTTATTTTTCTGCTTGATGCATTCTCTATGCTTATTTTATTTACTCTGCAAGTTTCTACTAAATGACAACCACAAGATGGAGTTCTTACCTTTTGAGGCTGCTGTTGCTCCAGAAGTTGTTGTCTGAGATGTTCTAAATTTTGTTGCTGCAATTGTTCAGCTAGTTGGTGAAAAAGTGAGTTGTTCACAGATTCTGGTACTAATGGCCTAAAAAGAAAGAATTTTTTAAATAAGCATATTTTCTCCAAGTGGTTGATAAAGAGACTTTCACTCTTGAGTTTTAAGTTTAATTGGAGATATAGAATAATAACGATGCAGACAATGTAACATCGTTTGTTATCATCATTACTGCACCACTGACATTTATATAACTAACAAAGCAAAGAATGTGTTAACTTCAAGATAAAGTCAGAAAAACTGGCACACATACAAAACGTTTAAAAATGTATACACTTCACTTAGTAAAACGTCTTTTTTCTTTACGTTGTTTTGGTTTACTTATGCTCTCAAACAAACATCTTCCTTTCTATTTAATCCTCAAGTTCAATTAGTGCCAGCCAAATTTTAGCATTTTCCCTTAGAAACATAGTTGATCTTACAGTTGGGAAGTGGGAGTTTCCTTCTTAGACTCTTCATTTTGTTCAGATTCTTCCCCAAAGTCAAATCTGTCCATCAGCTTCTAGGAGAAAGCAAAGTAAGCCTTACTGAGTGAGCACTCCTCATAAAATATATGTTTTATGTACATTTAGTTTTCAAAAGAAAAATGTTTTTATTTCTCAATTAAAAAAAAATTAGTTTGGCAAACTGAATGCCATACTAGTATCACTACCAAACTTCTCAATGCATCAAACCCCAAGTCTCAGCTGTGGCTTTCTTGAGCTCTGCCTGCTGTTGCAAGCAGAACTACACGTGCTTTCCATAGTAAATAACAGCTTATTTGGAAAAAGGCTTACAAAGAGATTAATTTTATGCGATGGTACCTTTATTCAATCCTTTGGCAATCAATGAACTACTGTGCTCATATCATGAGAAGATCTACAGCTTGATTACCTCACAGAAAATCACAGTATTAGGGTTAGGGTTCAGTAGCTTTTTGTTTTCTTAAGACAAGACTAAAGAAGGAGTATGAAAAATTGCAACAAATGTTACTTCTTACTCAGACCGAGTTTTTTCTTTAACTATACATCGAGAGAGCAGTGCTATCGAATTCATGTCCATACAACCTTTCACCTTGGAAGTCTTCCAAAAAGCAGTTATTACTGTACTTCAAGATATCCTAACTTCTCAAATATTGTTCTCTCAGAAGAAAAGACTGGAGTATGGAACACAGGTGAGGCATTTGGAAGTAACAAGGTAAAAAAAGTCTGAACCACTGTCATGATTTAGTAGCCCTTCTGTTTCACGATGCTTTACTTCTTTCCAGTTACTGGAGACCATGAAGAATAAAGCACAAGATGATTAAGAGACTCCGACCAACCAAGAATTTTTAGAACTATTTTCCCAGTGAAATAATCTAGTACAAATGAAAGTGGGATTGTCTCTAAGAGAAAACAGGTGAGGGCATTGTCCAAACACCACTTGAACATTGACAGGAGTGGAGCAACAGTCATCTCCCTAGGAAGGTGGTTCCAGTGTTTGACTGCTCTTGCAGTTAAGAAATTGAGAGAGCTTATGGGTGAGATGTGAAAATCCTGAGTAACGTGGACCATACGTATCCCACCCATTTAAAGAAAGCTTCTTGTTTTATCTTCAAATTGCTTTACTTTGTTAGGATATATTCACTGAAAACATGCAAAATACTGCATCTCTGAACAAAATATGCATTTTTAGAAAGCACCCAATTTCCTCTTTAAAATATAATTAATTATCATATATCTTCCACCACTACAAAGTAGAAAGGAAAATAAAAAACCAAGTACAATTTAAATAGGAATAATCACAGACAATGAATTCAACAACTGATGATACAAAAAAATTTCATACTGTCATAAGCCAAAAATCAAAGAAATTCCAGCCAATAGAGGCAAACGTGTAGCATGATTTCTGATTAAATTTGCCTTTAGTAAATATAAAATAGTAGATATTAAAGGGAAATTTTTGAATTTAAACATTTTTAAGTTGGAGGAGAATTGTCTTTCCAAAGCTAACAAACATTTAAGTATACTAAATATTAGGATACCTAACATCAATCCACTACACATAAACATGTATAAAACCAGAACTTCTATGAATGCCACACCTATTAATCTAATTACTTAAGAATACATTCAGAAAAAGCAATGGGAACTGTAAAAGATATGAAAAAAAGCTTTTTATTGCAAGGGAAATAAAATTCTTCTGAAGCAGCAGACAGGGAGGATCACCTCCCTCGACCTGATGGTCACACCCTTTTCAATGCACTCCGGGATACCACTGGCCTTCTTGGCCACAAGGGCACACCGATGGCTCATGGCCAACCTGTTGTCCACCAGGATACCCAGGTTCCTTTCTGCAGAGCTCCTCTCCAGCAGATCAGTCCCAACCTGTACTGATGCATGTGTTTACTCCTCCCCTGGTGCAAGACTCTATACTTGCCCTTCTTGAATCTCATCAGGTTCCTCTCTGCCCAACTCTCCAGTCTGTCCAGGTCTTGTTGAATGGCCACACAGCCTCCTGGTACATCAGCCATTCCTCACAGCCTTGTGTCATCAGCAAACTTGCTGAGGGTGGACTCTATCCCACCATCCAGGTCACTGATGAAGATATTGAACATGATCAGATCCAATACTGATCCCTGGGGAACGCTGCTAGTTGCAGACCTCCAACTAGACTGCACCAATGATCGCAATCCTCTGAAATCTGCCAGTCAGCCAGTTCTCTTCTTGCTCAGTTTCCTGTAGTGTTGATGGGCTGGTGTTTGTTCTCCCCTGAAGCTTTGTTCCAGACTGACTCAGCCTTACTCAGAACTAACCTCAGAGGTTATGGTGGAGCACTTGCCCAATGTGATGGTCCCCCTCTAAATTCAGCTTGCTAGTGTCTTTCTTGTGCAGGTGGGGGGCCAAAACTGGATGCGACACTCCAGATGCGTGTCTAGAGACTGCCGAATACAGGTGAGTCGACCATTGCCATTAATCCTTTATTCATATACCTCAGGTTCATTACAAGAGTTGCTATGTAGGACAAGATCCCTGAGAGTAAATTCCTGCAGGCTTATAGCTAACAAGACACTTGCTACTGACCCACAGGTAAAGTATAGCCAATTAGTTGCTACTTGAACCCAGTTATGCAAATAATTGTTTTACCTATCTGGATGTCCACCTGAAGAGATTATAATGTATTCAGTTGGACACAAAACATTGTGCAAGGGGATATCAAATTCTGTGTTAAAGTCAGAGTAATTGTATCCACTATTCTCCTCTCATCCTCAAAAGCAGTCTATCCATCATCAGAGGAAACCAGGTCAGTCAGGTGTGATTAGCCCTTGGTAAATCCATGCTGGCTGTTTCCAATCAATTTGTCTTTTGCACACCCAAAACTGCCTTCCAGAAGTACTAGCTCCACAGAGCTAAGCGAGGCTAACCGGTTTGTAGTTTTCTTGGGTGATCTTCTAGCCTGCTTCGAAGGATGCAACTTTTCCAGTTGTTAGGGACCTCCTCTAATCTCTTTTTTTTTAAATAAAAAAAAAAACACAACAAACAAACTACTAGAAGGTACAACTCTTGCTGAGCGCTGAAGAGAAATTCTGATTATGTTATATAAAGTAGCTTTCAACTATTCTGAAAACCAAAAAGGTGCACCACTTCTTCAGTTCATTCTTTCCAAATGTAGGTGGATGCCCAGTAGGCAAACAAGAGACAATTGGTCACAAACTGGCTTACAGAAGGTTCTGTCTAAACATCAGGAAGCAGTTCTATACACTGTAGGCGACAGAGCAACTGGTACAAGTTGCCCCAAGAGGCTGTGCAGTTGCCTCTTTGGAGATCTTCAAAATCTCTGGATGTGGTCCTGGACACTGTGATCCCCTGCTTGAGCAGGACTAAAAGACCTCCAGAAATCCCTTTGGATCTTAACCGTTGTCTAATTCTGTGATGCTACGTAGGAATGATCAACTTTGACCATCTGCTGCCTGATACACATCAGATTTCTTAAAGTCCTTCTGTCTTTGTAAGACAAATCTGAGACAATAGATTTTTCTGTCTCCTTGCTCTAGATAACTTACTATACATTTTGTATCTCCCATGACATATTTTAATTGATCAACTTATTTACCCTCTTTCCAGTCTCTTTATGAAGGATTTTGTTAAAGTAGGTTTTTTGAGAAGTCAATGTATGTATATTAACTGGTTCTTTTTTTTTTTTTTTAAATACAGAATTATCAACACACAATTTTCACTTACTGAAGTTCTATTTCATGTTACAAGGTTGATTTGTAATTCTCATTGTTATATTTGTTAATAACTTACTTTCTTATGAAGACTAGAGCCCCAGAGATTAAGCAACTATATGACTTATACTCCAAAGCTGTAAACAATCTAGCATTGCTGTTCATTGTCCAAGTGTCAAAACAAACAAAAATATCAGAAAGGTATCTCTAACAATATTTTCACCTAGTATTTTTTTTAATTTGTGAGAAGTTTTTGGCTTTGTTTTTGTTAAATTCTGACATACTGACATACTACTATGATGCAATGTTAACTACTACTACTACCTATAGCAATTGCCAGCATGGTTATTGATCCCTGGCATTCAACCCTATTCATTTTTTATCTTCTTTTTTTTTAATCTAAGTATATTTAAGAGACACGTAAATAGCAGCACACACAACTTTTTTCACTTCAAGGTTTTGTTTGTTTCTACATTTTGATATCCTTTAAAAAATGTCCCATGACTAGCTTTAACTAAAATTATTATTCCTTAACTCACCTCACTTTGTGGGTGAGAAGGTTTTTTGTCCTTCATAATGTAAGAAAATAACAAATACAATCTCCTTTTACTCTTCTTGGAAAACTAGGTATATAAATTTTTATATGTTTCTCTTTCACTGCTCTGTAGGAAATCATTTCATGCATTAGATAATAAATTCAGGTAGGGAAGAACACAAAACATGGTCAAATTCTCCTCACCACTGTGCTTCAAAGAGTTAAGAAAAACACAGAACAATGTCTTAACTTCTTAAATTCAAATTCATGTTCATATAAATGCCATTTAGCTTTAAACTCATTCAAGCTACGTATTTGAATTTATACTACTCTCCCCAGACATTTTTTTAATTTTCAAGATAGAGCACTATCTCATATTTATGTATTTTTAATACCTCTACAGCCATACAGTGAAATCCAACAGATGACTTTCTTACTTAGATGTATTTAACAATAAAAGTTTCCATTATTCTACTTCTACCTTATTAAAAGAGACACTCTGTTCCAACGGATTAAGTGTATTGGCAGCAGCAGCTGCAGCTGTAAGTTGTGCAGTTAGGGCCTGTAACTGAACGACAAGACCAGCATCCAGGGCTTGAAGTAGTGAAGGCTGCGGTTTCTGCTGCTGTATCTGCAGCGTCTGTATCAACTGCTGAAGCTAAAAGAGAAAAGACAACTACATTAAACAACATGTATTTTTAAAAACAGCCTTTTCCTCTTCCAACTAGGAAAAAACCTCATGAATGTAGTATTGTCTAACCTATGACTATTAATTTATTTTAATCCGTTTTCATTTATGGCAAATTATGTTCCCACTTACAGGCCAATTTGTTTTCAGTGGCTGATAAGACATGCAGATGCTTCTTCCTCCTAACTTGCTCTGAGAGGTTGCATGATGACCAGTCACCACTCAGGATTTCCTGTTTTCTACGTTTCCCTCTCTTCTGCTTCTCCAGTTTGATTCCTTCTGACCTGAAAAAAATCTGTTAGCCCACTCCAGCTTCCTGAGGACCCATCTATATTAGGAAAATTCGTATCCTGTAATACCACTTGTGTAGAGCAAATAACTGCACTGTTGCTAGATGCACTTTAAGCCTTCATTAAGAATTTCTGCTTGTATCTTTCTGTAAGTCATGAGGAAAATCTCATGCCGAAACTCAGGGCTGCACTTAAAGAATGCAACTGCCATGCTATGTGAACCAAATCATGAGAAGCAAATTAATCAAGAATTAACAATAAAACTTAACTTTCTACATTGGCATTATGTATAGCTCTATCTTTAGATAAAATGCTCCTATAGCAGTTAATGCACTGTGGAACCACAAGCTGCAGTTCCGGGACAACAACTGCCCAGTAATAACTCCAAACTCCTCCATCCAGTATGGCAAAGAACTGTACAACCAAGCGCTGAATCTGCGTTTCTCATTTAAAAACAAAACAAAACAAAAAAACACAACAAAAAACCCATGGCTAAAAGTATATGTTATTTTTTGTTTGTTGGCTTTTAAAGAACCACGTTCTGCAATCCAAAAGAGGACTGGATTATACTGGAAACAACACTGCAGATCATCAGAGGAGGAATACTTGGAACTGTAGTGAATGTTCCAGAGTGGACCCAAAGATTTTATCAGGGTTTATTAGGATACCCTATGAGTTGTCTCCTTCAAATCTAGAGAAGGAAAACAAAGTAAAATAATGTATCTCTCATAAAGGCTTTTTAGAACTAACATACCAAAAAGAATATCCAATTATCTACAGTGTGTCATGTTTTCCCTGTCCCAACTTACTATAATATTTTTTTTAAAGCAGTTGTTCCGTGAAGGAAATGAAAGGCTAACTTTATCATGTGCAGATCTGTTCATCTGTTGAACAGAGACACACCCATTAAACTGTACCAATATATCTTAATGAAAAAAGAAAAGGTACAATCTTTAAGGAAAGAAGACCTCCTGAAGTACCTCAAAATTAGAAAAACAGTCTTTTGACCTTCCACACGGCAGACCCTTACAGACTAATCTTTGGTTATCCCTGGAAAAGGGTTGAGCAAATCCAGGCAGTTCAAACTCTGCTGACATAAATGCCCAATTATCTTTAAGTTCTTGTTACACCTGCTGATAAGGTTCAACACTAAGATATTAAGACTTCAATTGCTCTCTTTTTAGTAGGGTTGACAAGAAACTCTGTAAGTTCATTATACCATCTTCACCATAATGCATCAGAAATGCTCAATCTTTTTTCAAGATTGTTTTGAGGCTACCTTCTAATAACATGAAGTAACTTCCTGTTCCTTAAGTACAGAATCCTCTGGAAATGCTTCAGTTACTGTTTTACTTTACTAAGAGTTTCACTAACTACAGCAATAGACAAAGCTGAAAAGCTTCCCACCTCCTTCTTGGTTGTTCCACAAAAGATGAGCAAATACAACACATCCACCCTGTACACTGCTCTGAGTAGGAAGGAATCAAACTGAAGAAGCAAAGATGGAAGCTCTTGAGTGGGAAAATCCTGAGCGGTCACCATTCTAGCTGCATATTCTTGCCGTTCACACCTTTGTTACTCTGTTCTCTGCTATATTTAGACTCTTATTTTACCTACATGTGTTCTCGCCCACAAAACACTCTCTTGGAATGAAATCAAGGATTTTGGAGCTTTGGGGAATGAGTGGAGTGACTCAGAGAACATGAAGAAGAGATGGACAGAGGATGGAAACATTTTTACAGAAAGCTGCCTGCCTGCGCTCAGCTTTGGGCTACAAGGACAAGCAGTTCATCACATGTCGTGCTTCAAGCCACATCAATGAGTTGAGCAGTTAGAAACTGAGCACAAACCCAGTCACTTCTCAAAGATTTTTTTGAATGCTGCAAAAATAAAAACGTGTTTAGCTGTCTGAAATATAAAGAATGCACTTTCAGAATGAGAACATTTCCACCATATAATTCTGTGCAATGTTTAGCATCTTCAGAGCATCCAGCAGAGAAATATGCTTAAACTGGCATTCTATTTCATACCTGCATTCATGAAAACTTAATGCTGCTTTGGATTTAGTCATTTGCAATATTAAATATAAAAGAAATTATACGTATTATAGGCCACCTTATCTGAAATCACATTCTGGGATATTTTTAAGGAACAAAGAATGCTGGTTATATAAGGTAACAGGAAATTTTGGTTTACCAAACTTACTTGTGATGAATAACCTCATTGGATAGTTAATATGAATACTGGACAAAAAATTGGACATGAGATTTCCATGAAAACTGCATTCCTTCAACAACACCTCAAAGACATAGAGTATTAAAGACTGTACAGTGTAAATGCCTACAGAATATTCACCTGTTGGCCTTGGGGACTCTGTAAAATCTGGGCAACAGCAGCAAGCGTATCTGTATTAGCAATCTGAGATACCCAAGGATCAGGTAAACTTTGCACCACATTGGCTGGAGTAACTGGAGTCACAGGTGTTCCTAAAAGAAAGAAAATCCAATATGTCACAATATTTTAACATACAGACTTAGAAACAGTGCTGGGGGAGAGGGGAAACTGTTGTAAAAGAAATGATAAATCAAACATGAATATTCTTGTTTATTTTCTAGAGCAATGACTTCTGGACTGCAAGAAATCACATTATAAAGCAACTCTAACCTTCCCAGGACACTAAAACCAGTTACTGAGAACTAGGAAACACTCCATTAACATGAGCAAAACTATTTTTCTGACACACATACAGAACACAAAGAAATAAAACAGATTCACATCAGCATTTTTCAAGTAGCAGCTTTGCTGTGTAAGTGTAGTTCACAGCTCTTTCCATTATTGACCTAAGGGAACCACTAACAATAACACCGATAAATGTAAAATACAAGAAGGTCAAGCAACCCAATTCAGTTTCACACAGTAATCTAAACCACCCAGTGGAAGCAATATCTTTTAAATGGTAATAGTAATCCATTCAGAAATATCAATTAATAAAAAATTTACTGGGCTTACACTTTACACTCAGAAGGAACCTTGAGGTTTCTACTAAAATTCCAGCCTGCAGCAATTAGATTCTTTAAGATTGCCCATTTAATCTGTCTTTTTTTTTGTTTGTTTTCCTCCTAATATTTCTTTGAGAGGAACTTTGTGATCATCTAATTGTTGCTTTCTTTCCATAATCCAGAATCTCTCTTCATCCCTGTAAATACCCTTTGAGCTTTTAGCTCAAAAATAGAGATATGCTGATGAATATCAAGTGAAAACATGATATTTTCGTATTAACATAACAGATTATCAACAGCATAACTGATTATCACTTAAACAGGAAATTTGCATCAAAATTAAAAAAAAAAAAAAGCATTACAGCAAAGTTGTGATTTCAACATTTTAAAGTAATCAAACTAATGAAAATACAAAACACTGAGGTAGAAGATGCATTATGTCACAGAATAGGAACATCTGCATATTTGTAGACACCACTGAAAGATAAGATTATCTACCTTCTTGATTTTCAGCAAAGGATCAGCAAAAAGTGAGTAATAAGATCAGTTCCATATGTGCCAAAAATAATTTTATAAATAAAATTTCCCATACATCCCAATCTTCAAGGAAAAATTCTCCACAACATGAAAAATGTTGAAAAGCCAGCTCCCTAGCATCTATTCACGTAAGACGATCAAGGCATATAAAAATGTCAGTGTTAGGTAACTTTAGCTGTACTCTATAAGCAGCTTTTTGCCCACTTGGCTCTTACTCCAAACAAGGGGGAGGAGGAGGTATGTTAGTAGATGCAGCTTGTTTTATCAATGTGGGGTTTTCTGTTCAAAATTATTGCCTGTTGACCAGCAAAAGTAAAAGATCCCCATCTGACATTATCTAATCAGCATGTTCAGTACTAAAGATAGCAAAAAGATACCGATGGGTTCTCTCTTCAACGGTCAAGTATCTTTCAAGTATCTTCTTCTTTGCCTTTAAGGTGTAAAAGTAGGTCTTACTGCACTGTTACTCAATATGAAATTACTTAAGATACACAGTTGGAAAGTAAACATAATGAGCTTTGTTTCGGTTTTGCTATTTTCCTAATCTGAATGCTGGCTACAGTACATTCCTTTCTGGATTTCATTGGATTTATCAAAAGTGAACCAGTGAGGCAGGTTTTTTTGGGTTTGTTTTTTTTTTTCCTCTCTCTCTTCCTTCCAGCACTTTAACAGCCGAGGTACCAAAGCTGACAGAAGGGTTTCGATAGAATGTAATTTATTCAATTTTAATCTGGTTTTGTTTACCTGGTGTATTGTTGCTCATAGCAGCAGTAGTACTGGGCAAGACGGGGGTCACAACTGGTGGAGGAATTCCTGCTGCCATATCCAAAAGAGGCTGAATAATTTCACTCTTGAACACGTTATTTTTCTGCCATAAGTTTAGCACTCTGACAATTTTACTCTAAAATGATAAAAAAAAAAAAAAAAAAAAAAAAGAGGATCTGTGTCATGATTACATTTTTGTTATTGTGAATTACTGAAGTTTTAACCAGCAATTCCAATCTGTTTAGACTGAAGCGCCTTTGGATTTACAAAACTACAAACCCTAGGAATAGTTACATCAAAGATGTCTAACCCGTGAACCTGGCCTGACATATACAGGCTGTACATAACACACACAGGATATACATCCTTCAGTAAAAAAATAATTAATTTAGAATTACTAACTAACTTAATTATACACATCTTCCCCCATCCCTGCGCTCAGAAAACCAAAATTAAAGAAAAACATACAAATGTGTAAAGGAGAAGCCTTCAGTAAGGTCCACTCTAGTAAGCAAAATATGAGATCAACATCTTTATTCTTTAAAGGAAACACACTAAAACTGCTTTGATTAGAAGAAGTTATACTAAATGTTTTACCTTGTCATCCCCAGGACAACGATACAAGTTCTGAAAAGTGCTGATGATGTTATTGCTGAATCTTGGAGCAAATACATCCTTCTCTTGCCCAAACTGATGCCGGGACTGCCTCACAATCGAATCAATGACGTACAGACCAGGCACCTTGTATTCTGGTTTGCACTACAAATAACAGTAATTTATGATATTCATACATCAAAAATAACACAAATCATTACTGGCAGACTAAACAGAAACAGCTTCATCTAAATTTTTCAAAATGTTCACTATTTATTAGATTTTAGAAAAGTATAAAACTGTCTCAAACAGAAGCCGCCAGCCCTTACTGTTCAATTTGTCACAGTTACATAAACTCCACAAATATGTATATAGCTTGAATTTCATTTGCTACCACTAACAAAATAAAAAACCTCTTTAGAGTCTAGCTAGTAAAAATCAGCACATGAACAACAAAATCTTTTTTAAAGACACATTATTTTAAAAGATGTAGAGCAGCATAAAGCACAAACAAAAATACCACATTTCACACTAGAAAAGAGTAAAAGTTAAGTGGTCATCTTTAATTTTAAAAACTGTGCCAAAAACCTGGTAGAAAAGCAAAAGCAACCATCACTCATTAGATTACTTTCATTTATTTTGCTGGAAGATTCATAGGCTTCTTTTAACATTAAATGAACACACACAGAAATAGTTCCAACACAGTATCTGCAGTCATTGAAGTCAAAATATTACATAAATATAAAATGAGGACAATGTATTTGTTTTTCAGCAGATCAGTTATCATCTACTGATTACTAACAGAAGTTGAATGCAACTGAAAACTGAAATACATATTCTGGGGTAAAAACAGAAATTCATACAGTATACCTAAGACCCAACTGTAGCGAATAATCTCTACAACACTGAAAGCTCCTCTGTGTGATAACATATCTGTTACTGACTTACCTTCTGAATGAATTTCTCAACACTCTGCACAACATGCTTGTAGAACTAGAAAACAAAGATAGTATTTCAATAGTGGAGAAAATTCTGTGATGCATATACTTGCTCAAGTCATGCAGCATTGACAATAAAACAACAATCAGAAACTTCAGTTGATCAACCAGCAATACAACATCCATAGCTAAATATGCTATCTTTCTCAGAAGATTTAACAGCATCAGGAAAAGCTAATTGCACTTATCTTTTTTAGAATAGTGTCTGTATCTAGTAAGTGAAGGTGACTGCTCTTTGAGAATTATACTGTTATCTCAACACACTTACCTGCAGATGTTAGCACAACATTACTAATAGCATTTCTCTCTATTTTATTTTCCAAATGTTAGCTTTGATAATCTAAATACACAATATACAAATAGGAAAACCTTTAAAACATTTACTGAGTACTTATTCTTTAGTGCTGTTGGTTTCTTTTGTGGGGATTTTTTTTCTGTTATTGGTTGTGGATTTTTTTGTTTTTTTGTTTTTTTTAAATTTCACATATAATTGTAATAGCTCCACATCATCTTAATAAATGCTCTACAAAATTAAGCCTTGTTACTGAAATGATAAGCATAAAGCATGAAGCATGATCGATACTTCCCAGTATCCCCTAAGATGCACTGAAAGACCCATCTCAAAGGGAGTCTGGAAATGCAGTAGTTACTTTATATCCTCTTTTGCCTTGACTGTAGCAAGCTGTGGTAACAGAAAAGTAACATTTTCTAGCATTTCTAGAATACAATACACTCTGCACATGGTCTAAGTTCTAAGAACAACAGAAGTGTCAATTTCTATGTGATAAAACACACCAAAGAATCACAGAACAGCCAGGGTTGGAAGGGATCTCAAGAATCATGAATCTCCAACCCCCCTGCCACATGCAGGGCCACAAACCTGCCCATTTAATACTAGACCAAATACTAGGTATCACTCCCACTCACTAAACTTACATTCATTTCTTGGTACACCACTATTGAATTAAATATCCCAAGGCTGTAAGTACAGGTACCAAACTGGTAGCTACAAGATAACATTGGAAAAACTGGAAAGACTGGAAAATACAACTTTTAAAACTTTAGCAGGTTTATGTCTTTGAGGCCCAGTTTATTGAAGAGTGAAAATACATAATGAAAATCTTGAAAGAGATATAGCATTGTCCATTTCAAGGTTTCCAAGATTCTGGTATCATTTAGCAGAGTTGTTAGAGTAGTATGGTTAGGATACAGTTAGACTTGATGATCTTTAAGTTCTTTTCCAACCTGACCAATTCTATGATTTATTATTAGTTTGGGTAAGGTTCAGTACGGATTTCTAGCATTCTCATAACACTGCAACACATGCACTCTGATTTATGTAGACTTCTCTTATTTAATAAACATAATAAACTCCATTCCTCTACCATCAATTTGCTCTGAGTTACGCAGAACTCCAATGCAGACGTCACCAGATGAAAATGTATCTACCTTCCCTGCAGAGGCATGCAGACATAAAGACCACGTCATGCTTTTCTTGCTTTTATTCTATGCTTTTTATTCAACTCTCCAGCTTTCACCAAGCATTTGTTTCAATGCTTAGTACTGTGCACTCTTCCCTCCATTATTTTTCAGTGCTGTTTTCTGTTGCTTTGCTGCTACTTGGCAATCTACTTTGTGGCAAGATTAGTCTTTAGTTAGGGTCCTGGGGACCCTTATGATCACACTTGATCATAGTTTGCCAACTGTGCACACGATAAAGGGAAAAAAATTGCAGCAGCACTTTCTGTAAGCTATTCAGGTATTTTGTGAGAGGTAAGAAATGGAAAGGAAATTAGAAGTAGCAAGTCAGTTCCTTACCTTTATAGCCTTGATTGCTGCCTTGGTGATCTGTGTCATTTTAGCTTTAGAAATGGGTGGCTTATAATCATTCAGTGAGTACAACTGCAGAAAAAAAACAACAATGAAGTGATCAGAAATACATTCTGCAGTTCTAAAAAGTATAAAAACACAGTATCTTTTCATAAAGAAATACCACTTTTGATATTCATCTAATTTTACATATGTATCAGATCAGAAAATAAATCCTCATTTAAGAAATAGAAAGGCCCAATGAAATACAATCTAACAACCAAAAAGCTTAAAAGACAGCAAGTTCTTCCTTGCAATGGCCAATGCACACCTAGTTATTAGCACTAAATACAGCAGACACCCATAGGTGAAGTTACAAAGGAGATATGCAATATACAAATGTGACAGCTCTCATGTTTTCTTTTTTAGGGCAAAAAAGTAATAGTGCACTTGATGACCCTCAAGAAAATGTACAGACACTTAACCAAATACTTATTACATGCATCATCGCTTGCCTACTGAATCTTATTTTATTTTCCTTAAAACAAAAATTTTCAGCCCAGTGAGAATGAGCATGTAGCCATTTTGCCACTTACCACAGCAGATTTATACACTTCATTCACCGTTTTAACTCAAATAAACAAATATGCTAATTATTAAAAACATTTAAGCAAATTCCATCTGAGTTCTCAGTTCTTTCTGAAGCTTTGTAACTTCATATCTAAGCACCAAAACAGACAAGGTACACAAGCTGTTTCACAACATTATTTTTTTCCCCAAAGATGCAGTAATAGCCTTATTCTTACTCCCCTGACCTGAGATGTGAACTGACACTACACTACCCAGTATTTGCTGCTTTCCTACACCAGAAGACCAGATACAAAAGGCCAAACCAGTCTTCAGAATGTTCTCGACTTAGCTTACACTGTATTTTTTGTTGGAAGCACATTAACTTGAAAATGTAGCCCTGATAATGAGAACGGCCATCCACAGAAAATTTGTATTTCCTTCTTAAAGATGAGAAAAATTTGAGTTAATTCCGTAAGATTGCTAACATCTGAAATAAAGTCAAAAGGCCACTCACTTCTCCTACTACACACTCCAAGTGTTGCAAAATATTTAATTCTTCAGCTTCCTACAATTCATTAAATCTTAGGCAAACAGTTAGCTAAGAAAACCTAATACAGAATGGCTTACATTTAGCAAGGTAACATGAAAGAGCAAACAGGATCACACAGTGGAAAGGATTAGACAATCGTAAATGTAAGTCACGCTCTCTGAGCTGCTTATAATAATTCACTGCTTTGAAATTGACAAGTTCCCAAGAGAACTTCTATTCTTACCTATTAAAAAATAGTTTTAACTAAAACTTGCATACTTGTCAAAAGGTGAACTGGAAGAAAGATTGCTTTGCCCACGCCTAAATATCAGTCTTTTCAGCCTGTAGGAATTTTAATTAAAACTGTGAAATTAAAAAATCAGTTCACACTTAGACATCCACTTCTAAAACAAACATTACTACCTCTCACTGTGTTCTCAATTATTTCTGTCCTTCTTACAAAAAGAAAAAAGAAAAAAAAGACAAAAAAAAAAGCAATAACCTTCCAAAATTCAAACATACGAATGCTCTTAACCAGTACTGAGGAAAAGAAGAAAACAGGAAAGGAATCCAAAAATCTCCACAATCAGTTTCTTCTCTGTTTTACACTCATGCTTCAGTGTTCAACTTTCACTTAAGCTTCAGTTACACATTGGTGATACTGCAGGTCATTTTCGTCCTGTGTAACAGCTTGGCTTCATACATGCCACTACAGCTAAACTATTTCTGGGGAGTGTCAGAAACATTTTGCTCACTTTCATGAAGTATGCTTCAGTTTGCATTCCCAGTCAGCAAACTCAAAGCCAAAATGCTAACAAGAGTAATCTAGACATATGCAAGACTGAAATCAGGATGAAATTCAGGAAGCCACCTTGCCAACCCAAAAACTGAGCATGAAGAAGTAGGAAAATATAGGAACTTCTTGACCACAGACAGAAGCAGCAATAAGGAGGCAGAACTGCTGACTCACGTGCATGAGATGGTAGCACACCTGACCATTCCACCAGCTTTGAAATCACCACAAAAAGGTGGATGGGGCAGTTCAAAGCAACAAGAAAGCTACAACACTGTGCTGGGAAGCACAGAACAGTCACAACTGATTCTGAAGCAGTGTGCAGTCAGGATGCTATAATAGCATCCCATTACTCTACTCCAGGTAGTAGAAAGCCATATTTGCCTTTATGTTTTCTATTTCAAACTATCTGTCATTAAAAGAATAAATGAACCAAAAGAAAAAGCAAAATGAAGAACATAATTCTCTACAGAGAGGCTTTTTGGACAACGGATATATCTGTTGCAGGCTTTCACAGCTGTTGAAAGGAAAATACAGATCCTAAATTCAGTACTTGGAAGAAGCCAAGACAAAATAATTCTTCTAACTTGTTTGTCCTTATAAGGATTTAGGAAGCTTTAATTTCCAATAAACATTTTATTCTGAAGATAACATTCACTTGGCAAGACAGTGATTTAGGCCCATCAGCGCATGACAAAAGAACTGTGAAGCAGCAGCATCTGGAACACTGCAAGGGACGATGAGGGCCCTGTATGAAATACCTATTTGCAATTTTGCAACATTTAATGCAACACTTTTGACAAAAATAAACCACTTATAAAATTAAGAAATGTAACATTCATTAAAATGTAATTTTAATGGTTCCACCTCTCCTATGCCTATTTAAGAGCTGACTGCCACTGAGGAAAGATCTCTTCCTGGAGATTGCTCTTTGTGCAGTTTATTACAAGCCTACAACCTTGGTGAGCATTTTTCATTGATTATTTTTTCATCGTGATAATCCTACTTAGAAGGTAATAAAAGTGGTCAATCAGAGGTTCAGGCCGTGATCAGCAGTTCCCATACAGATGTTCACTGAGTAGTGGCCAAAACCCACATGTTTCTGAATACAGAAAGTTGAACGTGCACAAATGCCTTCCTGAATACCTACCAACAGCACCCATGCTCTTAGCTCCATCCTCAGGAAATTCACACATTGTGCTTATTAACAGCCAACCAGGATTTCCCCTCCACTCACTCTAGTGTTAAACTCCTTAAAGAGGCACAACTTGGATAACACTCAAGCAATTAAATTATTATTATTTTTTTTTATCTAGCTTACAGGATTATTTTTTAAGACTGTAGGCATGCCAAAGAAATCAAATATATTTAAAATCTAGTTAAAGTAAAATAATTCCATCTATTCAGAATTATAAAACATGAAAACAAAAATACTTTTATTTTTAAAACTTGTGTTTCAATTCTGGCTCATTTCTTTTTGTATGTCCTTTTGTACAAACATTTAGTCAAAACAATTTGCTATAATTATTTCCTGGCCATCATTTTATAAGGTGCTGGCAGAAGCCCTCTAAGCAAACTAAGAAAAAACAAACAAAAACAATAAAGCTAAATAGTAAAGTCAAGGAAATTATCTGAAACAAAATGATATAATGCTGATTACCCCAAGTGGGATGCCAAATAAAGAAAAGCGGCCATACCCTCTAGCTGGTAACGTAAGTACAGAAGATAAAGTAATTAAGTTTGAAAAACTAGTTAAGTAATGAAAGGTTAAGTAATGAAAGGGCACAACAATAAGCCTTTTTCAAATGACAGAAGGAATAGAAGACATGTTACTGGATTCCTCTGGGGCCAAAAAAGATAGTCAGTGCAAACATGAAGACCCATAGGAGAGAAAACCCAGCAGAACAATAACCTGCCTCTCCTCATCTGTTTTTTAGACCTATGCACTGAGGAAAAACTCTGGAGATCTCCCATACCACAATCCCCTTCTAGTGGGGAAGAACAAGTTTGTAAAGTGAAAAATAATGGACTGTGAGAATCAAATTCTGAAGAACTCAAGAATCAAAAATTTGCTGCTAACTGCCATTCCTGAATTCTCACTTCAAACAGCCTCAATCTTGCAGCACTGAAAGACCAAAGATAAAGAACAGGAGTTTCTGAAAAGGGCTCAAGGGGACATTCAGGAAACAATATATCAGCTAGGTTCAACATTTGTAACAGAAAAATATATAAATTTCTCCAAAGAAAAGAATTATTGAGCACGCATAATTCCATGCAGCTGTTGAAAAGAAAAAACACATTTCAGGCTGTTGTTTTTTGAAAGGCTCCACAAGCACTGCAAGAAATCACAGCAACAGCCCACCTGGAATTCCAAAAGACATTACACACTTCTCACAAAAGGGTACAACGAAACTGGGGTCTCCTAAGCAGGCACTGCCATGGCAAATAACCTGACCAGCTATTCCTTAAAAGTAGCCAACAAATAATTTGAATAAATCGGTGGAAGTCCCAAGAATCTGTGCTGGTGACTGTGCTGTTCTGGATAGGAAAGATGAAGACTGACCATCAAAAGCTGCCAAGGAACATTAGCGATACAAAGATACAAAGAGGTAGGCAAACTAAAAGCAAGCACACAGGAAGTAGTGGATTTTGAAGCTGACTACTGTCATGCAGGAATGAGATGTGCTGGTGCAAGAGCAACAGTACAACAGTCAACCAGAAAAATTTCAGCAGTAAAAGCAGTAAACGCTTTTAGAACCACACCATTATTTAGTTTACTGTACTAACCTATAGGGCACTCTTGTCCTTAGTATTTCTGAAGTTTCCTCCCTCCTAATCTTCAAGAAAGTCATTAGGGTTAACAATACATATGGAGATGCTTTTAGGTGAAGAACAAGGGTGGCTAGAACTCTTCAGCACACAAACAGGATTTCTAAGGGAATAGCAGATGCCAATATAACCCTGAGTAGTAGGGAAGGTCACCCTGGAATGGATGGGCAGACTAAATGCAGGAGTGCACCAAATGAAATCAGAATGAAATGAGTGAAAACCAAGCTGGTAAAAGTGGTTTGAGATTGCTGGCTTTTATTTCCTCCAAGCATTCCCTGCCTCAGAGGGGCGCTTTTCTATGCCTCACAGGGATGTGATTCACTCAGGAATATCTTGATATGTTTGCCCAGATACTACAATGAAACACACCCA